GACACAATTCCCAGCTGAGATACAGGGAACCTTCAAAGAAATACTTTTTCTTGGTACAGGGCAGGGATGAGGCAAAACTAGGAACCAGCCCCATCAGACAGTACTGAGTGACAGCAACACGTGGCTTTGGGAGTTTGAAATTAAAGAAAGAAATCTTTAAAGATCTCAGATGCCTTGTCAGGAAGTCACATGAAGATAAATTGCCTCTCCTTGGAGACTCAACTCGGGGACCAATTATGGCAGGATGCTGGGGCAGTGAATATAAGAAGCACTACCAGCTGGTCTAGTGCTGGATCAGAAGCTCAGGGAGAGCGGCTAGTCCCTGAGCCCTGTTATTTTGGGCTCAGTCTGACAAAATCCCAGCCAACTCTGCTGTCAGGGATGGATCAGTTTCATCAAGGGGAGAGGAAAGAGAGGGACTCCATAAAGTGACATTAAGACAGAGGTCTGGAAGCGACTCCATCTCTACCAGGTTGCTACGATTATGGATTCATGTTGCATTGTTTGATGAAAAGGAATAAAGACCAGGTAATTGAAGTCCCAAGAGCCAAAGTGACTTGTTCAGGCACACACATCTAGTGGGGGTGAACTAGAACCCAGGGCTCCTCTGGATTGGCAGGTCACTGAGAAAGGAGGGAAGCTCCAGCCAGCTGGAATTCAGGTGAGGACAGCTCATGCCCAGCCCATGGCTTCCAGATCTAATTCTTTTTCTTTGGTATTATCCCTAATGGATCAGCTCAGTGCCTGCCTAGCCACTGTATCACATGATCAAATCTGACCAAAGCCCCCCTTTACAGCCCTGAACCAGAGCTCCATTAAGGACCCCCAAATCCATTAACTCAGATTCCTCTGACAGCACTTAGATAGCCCCCAACTGCAGAACTATTTCTGCTTTCACATTTAGATGCTGTTTGTTATTAAACTACTGCTTTTTATCAGGATGTGGGAAAACCAAACAATGCTTATGGAGCCCTGTTAGGTGCTAAAAGGGGCTTATGTTTACTCTTTCATTTGGAGGGTAATTCTAGTACAAAAAACAAAGTCCCCTAATAAGCCAGCCAACTCTAATTAGGACAACAGCTGTTTGTTAAACAAGCATGTTGTGAGACTGAGAATAGAAATATTCCAACAAGCAGAGCCCACTGCTGATTGCTAATGGATTTTTTTTGGTTCATGCTCTTTTTTTGTTCATAGAATATAAATTTTCCCTCCTTAAAAATATTTATTTAAAAATTTAGGTAGCCAGTATATATATGTGGAGGGCTTTTAGCTTTCCAATGCCATTTGGCATCTGTTTGAATCTGTGCATTAATCTTACCTCACGAGCAGCACAAATGGCAAGAGAGGAAATTGTGTCTTGTGTAATAACATCAACCAGCTAACTGGGGACAGAGATGCAACTTCAAGAGTTAACTCTAAGCCAGAGAATCACTTGCTGTCCATTCTTAGTGTAGTAGAAGCATTCATCACTGTTTATCTCATATTTTAGTGAGCTTCTACGGTTGTCCGTTTGCATGTTAGCCTGCAAAGTTTGTTGAAGTCAAGTGCCTAAATGCCAGACACCCAACATAAAGCTTTATTACTCGGAATGACTTGAACTTCTCTCCCGGGGTCCCCTCCACTGGCTCTTGCCATAGTCCTCACAGGTTAACAGCTGAATGGATGGCGGCGAGGAATGGCACCGTAGTGACAGAGTTCTTCCTTAGTGCATTCACCGAATGCCCTGAGTGGAGGCTTCCTCTCTTCCTGGTATTTTTCAGTTTTTACCTACTCACTCTGCTGGGGAATGCAGGAATGATCATCCTGATCCGCAAGGATCGCCGGCTCTGCACCCCGATGTACTTCTTCCTCAGCCACCTCTCCCTCGTGGACGTCTGCTACTCGTCTGTCACCGTCCCTCAGATGCTGGCCGTGCTGTGGGAGCACGGGGCAGCTTTACCCTACGCACGCTGTGCGGCCCAGTTCTTCCTCTTCACCTTCTTTGCCTCCCTTGACTGCTACCTCCTGGCCCTCATGGCCTATGACCGCTACGTGGCCGTGTGCCGACCCCTGCTTTACGTCACCGTCATGACGCAGAAGGCCTGCTGGGGCTTGGCGGCCGGGGCTTATGTCGCTGGTTTCTGCAGTGCGTTGGTGCGGACGGTCACCGCCTTCAGTCTGTCCTTCTGTGGGGACAATGAGATCAACTTCATTTTCTGTGACCTCCCTCCTCTGTTAAAGCTGACCTGTGGGGACAGCTACCCCCAGGAGGTGGTGATCATTGTGTTTGCCATGTTTGTCATGCCAGCCTGCGTGGTGGTGATCCTGGTGTCCTACCTGTTTATCATCGTGGCCATCATGCAGATCCGCTCTGCCGGCGGCCGGGTCAAGACCTTCTCCACCTGTGCGTCCCACCTCGCGGCTGTCGCTCTGTTCTTCGGCTCCCTCATCTTCATGTACCTGCGAGATAACACGGGCCAGTCCTTGGAGGAAGACCGAGTGGTGTCGGTGCTCTACACAGTGGTCACGCCGATGCTGAACCCCGTCATCTACAGCCTGAGAAACAAGGAGGTGAAGGAGGCTGTTAGGAAAGCCCTGAGCACATCACAGACATCTGGAAGGCTCTAGACGGACTCCTGTCAAGGTCATTCCATAGTTTTTCCATCCTTTCTGTCTTTCCACAAGTATCACCTACTTAGGGAGACTTTCCCTGACAACCCTATTTAAAACTGCACCTGTATTTCCCTCCTCCACCTTTTGATTTATTATTCTATCTAATAATTGTCCATCCGATGTGTTTTGTTTTAAATATTTGACATTGTCTAATTCTCATGACTTGAAAATACACTACAAGAGAGTCGGCATTTTTATATGTGAGATTCCTTTCTCTCTCCGGTGCCTAGCAAAGCGCCTGGCATATAGAAGGGACTCCATGAATATTTATGGAATGAGTGTATTAATCTCAGATTCCAGTGTCTACCTTCAAGTTCCAACTTTCTGAGTCCTCAAATAAGTATCAGTCAAGTAGGTTTACCTCCTTCCTAGGATTAAATATATATATGTATTTTTAGCTAACCACTTTAGGTAAAACTCATCACATCATATAACGGTATATTGTATTCTCACATGTTCTCCCCCCTAAAGAAGAATGACCTTTTGTAAGAAAATACATGTTGCTTCTGTGTGGATGATCTTTCCCATGCTTCCCAAGGCTGATTGAGTGTATGTATTTGTGACCTTCATCATCTCCTTTGCTGTGTAAGTTCTAACTTGATCCAGCTATAAAAGGATTTTATAATGCAATACAAACTCATCATGTAGCCCAATTCCTTTTAGTTTACAAGAAATACTATACTACTACCTAGTGTGCAATATTCATCTATTGCTGGCATTGCGCAGTTTTGGGATTTGAGTATATTTCAAATATTGAGGCAAAACTAGGAACCAGCCCCATCAGACAGTACTGAGTGACAGCAACACGTGGCTTTGGGAGTTTGAAATTAAAGAAAGAAATCTTTAAAGATCTCAGATGCCTTGTCAGGAAGTCACATGAAGATAAATTGCCTCTCCTTGGAGACTCAACTAGGGGACCAATTATGGCAGGATGCTGGGGCAGTGAATATAAGAAGCACTACCAGCTGGTCTAGTGCTGGATCAGAAGCTCAGGGAGAGCGGCTAGTCCCTGAGCCCTGTTATTTTGGGCTCAGTCTGACAAAATCCCAGCCAACTCTGCTGTCAGGGATGGATCAGTTTCATCAAGGGGAGAGGAAAGAGAGGGACTCCATAAAGTGACATTAAGACAGAGGTCTGGAAGCGACTCCATCTCTACCAGGTTGCTACGATTATGGATTCATGTTGCATTGTTTGATGAAAAGGAATAAAGACCAGGTAATTGAAGTCCCAAGAGCCAAAGTGACTTGTTCAGGCACACACATCTAGTGGGGGTGAACTGGAACCCAGGGCTCCTCTGGATTGGCAGGTCACTGAGAAAGGAGGGAAGCTCCAGCCAGCTGGAATTCAGGTGAGGACAGCTCATGCCCAGCCCATGGCTTCCAGATCTAATTCTTTTTCTTTGGTATTATCCCTAATGGATCAGCTCAGTGCCTGCCTAGCCACTGTATCACATGATCAAATCTGACCAAAGCCCCCCTTTACAGCCCTGAACCAGAGCTCCATTAAGGACCCCCAAATCCATTAACTCAGATTCCTCTGACAGCACTTAGATAGCCCCCAACTGCAGAACTATTTCTGCTTTCACATTTAGATGCTGTTTGTTATTAAACTACTGCTTTTTATCAGGATGTGGGAAAACCAAACAATGCTTATGGAGCCCTGTTAGGTGCTAAAAGGGGCTTATGTTTACTCTTTCATTTGGAGGGTAATTCTAGTACAAAAAACAAAGTCCCCTAATAAGCCAGCCAACTCTAATTAGGACAACAGCTGTTTGTTAAACAAGCATGTTGTGAGACTGAGAATAGAAATATTCCAACAAGCAGAGCCCACTGCTGATTGCTAATGGATTTTTTTTGGTTCATGCTCTTTTTTTGTTCATAGAATATAAATTTTCCCTCCTTAAAAATATTTATTTAAAAATTTGGGTAGCCAGTATATATATGTGGAGGGCTTTTAGCTTTCCAATGCCATTTGGCATCTGTTTGAATCTGTGCATTAATCTTACCTCACGAGCAGCACAAATGGCAAGAGAGGAAATTGTGTCTTGTGTAATAACATCAACCAGCTAACTGGGGACAGAGATGCAACTTCAAGAGTTAACTCTAAGCCAGAGAATCACTTGCTGTCCATTCTTAGTGTAGTAGAAGCATTCATCACTGTTTATCTCATATTTTAGTGAGCTTCTACGGTTGTCCGTTTGCATGTTAGCCTGCAAAGTTGTTGAAGTCAAGTGCCTAAATGCCAGACACCCAACATAAAGCTTTATTACTCGGAATGACTTGAACTTCTCTCCCGGGGTCCCCTCCACTGGCTCTTGCCATAGTCCTCACAGGTTAACAGCTGAATGGATGGCGGCGAGGAATGGCACCGTAGTGACAGAGTTCTTCCTTAGTGCATTCACCGAATGCCCTGAGTGGAGGCTTCCTCTCTTCCTGGTATTTTTCAGTTTTTACCTACTCACTCTGCTGGGGAATGCAGGAATGATCATCCTGATCCGCAAGGATCGCCGGCTCTGCACCCCGATGTACTTCTTCCTCAGCCACCTCTCCCTCGTGGACGTCTGCTACTCGTCTGTCACCGTCCCTCAGATGCTGGCCGTGCTGTGGGAGCACGGGGCAGCTTTACCCTACGCACGCTGTGCGGCCCAGTTCTTCCTCTTCACCTTCTTTGCCTCCCTTGACTGCTACCTCCTGGCCCTCATGGCCTATGACCGCTACGTGGCCGTGTGCCGACCCCTGCTTTACGTCACCGTCATGACGCAGAAGGCCTGCTGGGGCTTGGCGGCCGGGGCTTATGTCGCTGGTTTCTGCAGTGCGTTGGTGCGGACGGTCACCGCCTTCAGTCTGTCCTTCTGTGGGGACAATGAGATCAACTTCATTTTCTGTGACCTCCCTCCTCTGTTAAAGCTGACCTGTGGGGACAGCTACCCCCAGGAGGTGGTGATCATTGTGTTTGCCAT